TGCACCCAATGTGAACTTGTATCCTTTGTGGCTTTTGAACAATATCAACATTTTTGTGCCAGTAGTTCAGCTATAAAGACCAGAAGATGAGGAAACCTACATAATTTTGCAGCAGGGCTAAGAGGTGTTTAGTTCCCCTGCTGCTGTTGATGTATTTAAATTACACATGAGAGACCCCTCAATTCTCAAGAGAATACCCCTCTTTCACATCAGTGTCTCCCCTCCACAGTACAAGCCCCATCTCACATCGAGAGCCCTCTTCACATGAAAACCCCTTTCCCTCCCTTTTGGCAGCTTGCGTACACAATGGAAATGCATGTTGTTGTGCAAACATTCTGAGGCGCCCCTGAAAAAGCTAGAAGGGTCCCCAGGGTGCCACAGAACCCTGGTTGGTCTAGTAGAACTGGCACAATACTGATAAGCTCATAACATACGTCTGCAGCTTGTGACGATTGAATAGAAGTATTTCTGCATTTCAATTTGGAAACCATCAATCCTCATTAGGTCTCCGATGGCAGATTTTACCAAAGGACTTTTATTACAGAAAACACAAAGAATGACGCCTGCTTGTGGCTGAATTCCTGACATTGTTAACATAGGCAAGGTTGTCCTGTTTCCAAGCCTCTTACTCGGAAACTTGATCTTCGATTGAAATGGCATTTCTCTTGTCTTATTAGAGAAAATTACCTTCTGCAGTTTAAGCTGAACAACATTGAGAGTGCCAGTAAAGTTTTTTTTGCAGAACATACCATGAATTACAGGACAAGAGTGCTGGAATTCTGAAACAGTAGGGTTCATAATTGAATGTGTCTGAAAGAACAGCTTGTATCGCTCATGTCAGTGAGCTTTTCCCATCTGGTATTAAACCCGTTCTTGAAACATAAAAGAGAGAAGCTGATTGCTTGCTAAGGGCCCCAATGCAGAAAGTTCTTTTAGGTGCTTTTGGTCACGTGGCCAGACACATGTAGCCCCTATGGACTGTTGTATTGTCCACTATATTTATATTTCTGAACGGGGTACTTGGAGCACAAACTGTCACAATAGCTGGGAAAACGTATAAAATGTGTAAAACATTGTGGAACTGATCCCTAAGTAGCCAATCACAGATTCACACTTTCTTGTGTTAGTTCAAACGTCACCAGATTGGTTGAAGTGTCAAGTAGCAAAGCTTGCAATAAATTTATTTGCCAAAGTCTCTGGATTCACAGAGCATTTTGATGTGCATTTTCTTTTTTTACTGAAGGTAACCTTTGCTTTTGCATTATTTGTGACGGGTTTGACTTTGATGAAACAGCCTATTAGTAAGTAATTTGTGGTCTCTGCAGCTCTCCTTCCTTTAACAAGGCATTAGTCTTTTCCAAAGCAGGAGGTTGTATCCTGGTAAATACAGACACCCCACATTCAAACACAAGGGACTAACCCCAACCAAAACAGACCAGGCAATTTTAATGGTGTCCTGGGGCAAGGGGAGACAATGCCTTACAGGCAGCTTCTATATGCATTAATCAGCCTGCTTAAACACATTAGCACTGATGAGGAAAGGAAGCAGCTCTTCTTAGTAGCCATGTCTGCACCTTAAACAATCCAACTTAAAAGATGCATGCACATAATTAATCAAATTTTTGCTTATTTACACGCATCCTTTGTTTACCAGGGTATGTACATAAACTCATTCTGTTGGGTAGAATGTTCATTTATTCTAGCCACTAGAATTAATTTACAGGTGTACGAGTATGAATTATGCCAGTAAGCTCCTATCCTAATGCAGGTTTGAAATGTTTTTATGGCCCTGAATGCTGCTTTAAATTACAAAAAAAGCCACAATATCCATGGACACATTGGTTGAAACAGTTCTGTTTTCAGTGGCATAAAATGAAAAATGCCTCTGAAAAGCCAATTGTTTTCCCTGTGTATGCTTGTGACCTTATTAATAGTGATGTGCAGGAGCTTGGTGTGAACCTAGTTTGCTGAATTCACCCAAACCCATGCAAAACTGTGACTGACACCCCCTTCCCTACCGGCCTCAGTTGTGCCAGGGGCATTTCATATGCCCTTGTGACATGCAGCTATGGGGTGGGCAATGTGCCTGCCGCAACTGCTTGGGCCGGGAGGGGTGTGTGTCATTTACAGTTTTGCAGAGGGTTAGGCAAACTCAGGCAAACTGGGATCACACCAGGGCCCTGCACATCACTGCTTAGTAACATCAGCAGCTGCTGAAGGTAAGCTTGTGCCTACTCATATACCCAAAAGAGAACTAAAGCAAAACCTTTTTTATGCTTTTAGTCCTTTTTTGGGTCAAAGGAGTATATTTACTTCCTGTGACCCAAAGTCAGCATCTAGTGGGCTACTGCCCGCTTTTTGCTGACAGTGCAGAGTGCAGTTGCAGCTGGGAAAGGTCCCAACAATATTGTCAGTAGGGTTGCACAGATACCAAGTACAGTACTCGGTACGAGTACATGTACCGATACTTTTGAGCTCCAAGACTACACTAGAGAAAAATTCAAAAATTAGGAGGCAGCTGTCATTTGTAAGGAGCACACGGAGCTCCTGGGATTTGTACATCTCTGTTTTAATGTACGATTTTGTTTTTATAAATATAAATAAAGGGATGCACAGATACCAGTTTTGCTAGTACGAGTACTGGTACTTGCCGAGTACTTACAAGTACAAGTACTGATACATTTTTGTTTATTGTCATGTGACAGTTTTTCTAAAACAATACAGACTAATGATTTCAGGACAGTGGGGGAGTGCCAGAGCCAGGCCCCAGCTGCAACCGCTGCAACCCTGGTAGTTCTCATGAAAATGCCAAGTATCTGCACTGGTACTCGAAAAGTATCTGTGCAACTCTAATTGTCAGGATTCACCCACTGCCTGACTGGCAGCCAGAGCCAACTGTGCCCACCCCCTCCCCTGTCTGTCCCTCCAGTGAGCACAGGAGGAACAGATAGGGGAGGGGGTAGTCCCTGCAGGGAGGCCTGAATGACAGTTCGTGATAGCTCAGCTCTCGATCCTATAGAGCCGGCATGTTACAGCTGCAGGCTCACACAGCTCTCAGTATTGGGAAGAGTACATTTTACTCTACCAATGTCTCTTTTAAAATTGAGGTATGTCTTCACTGGACTCGCCCTTCCGCCAATTGCTCTGGTGGAAATAGGTAGTTAGTGAAGAAACTATTGTTTCTAAGTGATGGGGGGTTTAGAAGCTCCCTTTTCTTTGTGGGAGCATGGATAGTTTGCGTGAAACAGACTATAAATGACAGTGCTAATGAATGGTTTATATTTTACTAGGTTGCCTAGTACTTTCTGTAGCAGAGATGATTTAATTCATATTTACCTTTTACAAAATAGTAGGTTATGTTACTGCAGAAAATGCAGCGTTACCTAGTGTCATTTGTGCACAAGGGCTGAGGACAGTACAGCAGTGTTTTAGCTTAGCCATGGGAGAAACAACTAATCATTGAAATAGTGCTACCAAGTGCTCATTAACTTTAGTTCAAATCTATATAAGAATTAACAAGCCACAGGTTTCCATCAAGCCAGCTGTTGGGTCCTTTGGGAATGTCTTTAATGAAGTAAAACAATAGAATATATTTTTCTATGGTTTCCTGACATTTAACTAATATGTTGTTCTTTACACTGCCTGCACTTACGTCATGTCCTCGTTTCCCCTCCATGAGGCTGCTATGGCACACGGTATGGTCTGTGGGCAACTTCGTGACTGTGAACTCATTTTTCCATTTCCTAATGCCAAGCTTTCCAGGCAGTCAAAGAGGAATCAGGGACCACTAGGGCTTACGTGAACTTCACACACATAGGTCATTGTTATATGAGGGAACACGTACTTCCTTTTCATGGGGAGACTGAGCTAGATTTTCCAGCAGATTTCAATTTTTTTTCCATAGTCTGTATCTTACTTTCGTTACTTCTGTAGCACAGTTGGCATGCACTTATAAACTTTACTGTATCTGCAATATTCCTTCCTGTGTAAAGTAATATTAATTACTGGTACAGATCTTCAAAGTGACACTAAACTCAGGAGTTAAATCTTAAAACTGCACTAATATACCCTAAATAAAATGTAGCTTATTTGTGTATTAATCAGCTGTAGATCCTCCAATCATCTCTGAATTGGTGCTGACACTGTCCTTCCTTCTGGAGGGTAGCTACTTTTTCCCTCATGGTCCCTGTGTGTGTTGTAAAGTAGCCACCACTCCAAGCTCGCTCTTGTGATGGACTACACATTTAGTTTACTAATTTGTATTGAAGTTATAATCCATCATGCGAGCAAGCCTGGAGCGGTGGCTACTTTACAACACACACACACACAAAATCCAATACAAGTACAGTCTGTGTATAGCCTGTGTAGGTCATCATCAGTAGTTTTGCTCTGGTTTAACTAAGCCATGCTGGTCAAAGCTGTGGTTATCACTGCCCATGTGCACATAACCTAAATACTATTAAAAGTTACCCTTTAATTTCCAATCTGCAGCCAATGATTTTGATTCCCATAATTGTCTGTATAGAATTCAGATATTTCTTTAAAGCACAGATGCCTGTGCTTAGAATTTCCCATAATATTTACCACCTCTTATTCACTACCTTGGCATTTGTGCAAAGGACCTGAGCTCATATCACAGGCATTCGTCTTATAAAATATGGCAATCTCCATTGTTATCTGGCAGTGCAGTAACTTGGTAATGAAGCAAGTCTTTTAAAGTTCAGCAATCCTGTCTGGAGATATTTAATGGACTGGGTGCTCAGCCTCTAAAGAGATAATTATCTTGCTAATACCTACGAGAAGGCTTGGGCATATACATAATGAAGAATAAGCATGTGTACATGCAACCTTCTGCTTGGTACTCATTTTGACAAACTGAGTTTCAAAGTAAACTAATGTGTATAATACCCTTGTAAGCAAAGAAGTTTGAATTTGGCAGTATATGGCGATCTTGACTTTAAAATGTTCTGAAATCTAATTTCTTATATCTGTTTTGTTAGGAACCTGACCGGCTTCCAAGATGTCATCTCGAAACTCCTATAGAGATGATGCAGAGCGCTACCTTTTCGTGGATCGAAACCCTATGAGCATGACAGCAACACAAGCTGACTGGACAGCAAAGAAGCTAGTGTGGGTGCCCTCTGAAAAACATGGGTTTGAAGCAGCTAGCCTCAAGGAAGAGCGAGGTGATGAAGTAGTGCTGGAGCTGGCTGAGAATGGTAAAAAAGTGGTTATCAACAAGGATGACATTCAGAAAATGAATCCACCAAAGTTCACCAAGGTCGAGGATATGGCAGAGTTGACCTGTTTAAATGAAGCATCTGTCCTTCACAATCTCAAGGACCGGTATTATTCTGGGCTCATCTATGTGAGTAATATCCAACTGCAAAAAATGTTTTTACTTTTTTTTTTTTTTTTATTAAAGCTGAACCTCAGTCACAATACCATTAGCCTTGATTATTTAGATTGCAGCATAATTGACACAAAAAACAGCTTCACCGATCAAAAAAGTTTATTTTTCTCGCTAGCAAGGACCCTCTATCCGGTGGTAGGGACTAATCACTGTTACCTGCTGTCTGTGAGCAGGGTGACAAGTCCCTTATTGTCCACTCTGTAGTTCTAGCAAAGGAGCGGTAATATCAGGCAAGTCCAGGTGCGGAAGCTGGTGCAATGCATACAAGGTATCCCTGCCCAGGACCTCACTCTTACATAACACCCCACCCACCTCTTTGCCCGTGGACATTATTCCAGTTCCAACTACTTCTGTGCCGAGGACATTATTCTAGTTCCAATTGCAAGCTTAGTTTTTAAAATTCCCAGAATTCAGCTTGAAAGGAGAACTATTAAGTAAAACGTACTCTTCCCAATAGTTTGAGACAGTGTGTGAAACTACAGTTGTCACATGCCGGCCCTATAGCTGCAGAACTAAGCGATCACATACCACTGATCACTCAGCTCAGATCTGCTCCCTGCAGAGAGCAGCGATTGTCAGAGATTCCTCCCTCCCATCTCTGTTCTTCTGTGCTCACTGGAGGGACAGACAGGGGAGGGGGCTGGCTCTGGCCAAACTAAAGCCAAAAAAAAAGGCCATCGTTCTCTTTTAAAGTGAAAGAGTCACATTAATATTTCATAGTCCACTTCCTGTATCTGATTTACTCAGTTCTTGGCAATCGAGCTTTAGAGCCTTTGACAATTAAGACTAAAAGCAAATGCGAACAGAGAGGCACATACATGTTAGTGTTACTCTTCTTCGAAAGATGCAGATGTTTTATATTTAAAAGGGGATTAATGAATTAAAGAAGTAAAGGAAATTCCTCTTTGACCGTAAATGTAAAACTTAAACTGCTTTATTTTATTTAAAGTGGTAATAGTTTTCAGACACTTTTAATTTGCTGCGGTGTGTTAGTGCAGTCAGTAAGTTTAAAAAAAGGTCTTTTTTGTTCTACTTTGAAGAAAAGCAAGCTTCATTTATTCCTTAGAAAGGTAGCAGTGAGGATATTTTGGGATTTGTTAGCTGTTTTTTTGGCCAAATTGTGAGACTTTTACAGGTTTGGCTGATGATCAGGATTTCAGCAGAGCAGGCTAATCATTGAGATAATAGAGATAATGGTATTGTCTGAAGGTCACACATTCGGATATATGCAAATGTTTGGATACACTGGTGTATGTTCTAAAAATGATTCATTTCAGGCATTTATATAGTGCGACAATATACATGCTTTACATTCAAATCAGTCCCTGCCCTCATGGAGCTTACAATTTAAGGTCTCTATCTCACATGCATACACATAATAGGCCAGTTTAGACAGGAGAGAATGAACTCCTTGGAGTTTGGGAAGAAACCAGAGGGAGAACATGCAAATTCCATGCATATAGTATCCTGGTCCAAATTCAAACCAAATACAGATGAGATTTCCCAGGAAGGCACTGGTGATGTAGCCTTCCCAGGATGCATCTGTGAAACCAGGCCTACATCACCGCCTGCCGCACTGAAACAGAAAGTGGAAGAACAACAATTGTGAGTAAAAGCAAAATATGTTTAATGAATGTAAGATGATTTCATATTAGCATGTAAAGCTGCATACTGATATGAATTTTAGTGAAATGGATTGAATGTCCACTTTAACAGACTGGAAAAAAAAACATGCATAAAATGTGGCAGATGCTACAGTTTGACCACCCTGACAGTCTGTACTATGCAATATCCTATTTGGCAGGAATTCTTTTGGTTAGCTAATAGTCTTTGTATTCTTCACACTCTCCTGGCAAAACACTTCTAGTTCAGAAATGCTCTTAATTTGGAATTACAATTTGAGGAATATGATATACCCAATTTCCAGGCCAAATATTGTCATGGTGCTATAAGCATGCATTTTCCCAGAAGAACATAGGGCTTTAGCATGAATCCAGTTTCAGCCGATTCCCACTGAATCAAACCCAAACCCAAATTATTTCCCTCTGCTACCAGGAACAAATTGAGGATGCCTTGTGTAAAGTCCAAGTTGTGACTTGTGGCTTATATGGGTCTAAGGACTCTATCCCTGCCCCCATGTGAGTGCCCAAGCTGCCAATGCTAAAGCACCACCAATAACACATGGACAGAGTCAAATTTTCCCCATTTCCAGAAGTACTATCTATATTAGAGGTGCACCGAAATGAAAATGTTAAAACCGAAACGAAACTGAAATCGTTTTTTTTTCTAACTTTACATTTTTTTAAAAAATATTTTATTTTTAGTCAATCTTTATAAACTGTTTAATTTTTTAACATTTTATTTATTTGTATTAAATATTTTTATTTGTTTTACTTTACCTATAGGTGCTTCGGGGGAAATATTAGGGTTCTAAACAGACCCCTGATATTTTCCTTTTCAAATAGAAAAAGTGAATGAGAACACAGAGTCCTCCATCTCTTTTTCTGCAGCCCCTGTTATAAATTAATAGGAATCCTCTATACTGAGTGTTCCTGTTCATTTATGACGTGTATATAGTGTGTTTACTATAGCCACAATCATGATTGAACAGGAGGTGATGTAGATCACTTCCCATTCACTCATAATTGAGGATATAGTAAATATACTCTGTCCCTAATTATTTACAAACACTCACTGCTGTATGCTGAGTGTTTGTAATCGCTCTCCATCCTGACACGCTGTCACAGTGAGCGAGCGGTGCCGGGAGTAGAGCTTGATCTGACCGCTGACTCCTCTTCTGCACCGCTGGCTGGTCTCCTGTGGCAGCGCTGGCTGTCTCCGCCCACACAGCCGCTCTCCTCTGATCTGTGACAGGAGGCTGAGCAGGGAGGAGAGACGCTGGCCGCTCACAGCGCTGCCCTCCCGCAACGCTCGGCCACCTGTGACAGTTTCTTTCCTCCCTGCTGGGACACAGAGCAGCACCCAGCAGAGAGGAGAGAAAGTAGAGATGCACCGCTATACTGGCAGAAAAAGGACACTTTCGGCATTTTGCTAAAAGTGCAATTTTCGGCCGATATATCGGTGCATCCGTAATCTATATATTTCTCTTCACTCTCAGCGGCTGAACAGAGCTGTGGGAAGAAAAGGAAAGATAAGTAGGTGCTGCTTAGAAGGGCTGGCTGCTGTTCTCCTTTGTGTGGGCAAACCTTAGGTTCTCTTTATTTGCAATGTATACCTTATCTTGGTACCTGCATTTTTAGAGTATTTATTCCCAACTTTAAAGGAGAACTATGAGGCGAGTGCTTTTCACTCACCTCATAGTTCTAGCCGACCTGTGACAATGAGACTGTCACAGGTCGGCTCAGTAGATCGGGAGGTGAGCGAACACATACCGGGTTCGCTCACCTCTCGATCCTGTCACAGCTCTCTGCCGTGACAGGGGGAGGGGCTGGATTCCCCTCTCCCCGCTCCGATCAGCCAGCGCTGACTGGTGGAACGGACGGGGGAGGGGGCGGGTACAGCTGGCTCTGCCTCTAGATAGGCAGAGCCAGCTGTTCCTCTCCCCTCTGGATCCTGTCACAGCTCTCTGCCGTGACAGGGGGAGGGGCTGGATTCCCCTCTCCCCGCTCCGATCAGCCAGCGCTGACTGGTGGAACGGACGGGGGAGGGGGCGGGTACAGCTGGCTCTGCCTCTAGATAGGCAGAGCCAGCTGTCACTCACGCAGCTGGGCGGATCCCGTCGTCTAAGGCCCCGTTCACATATAGCGAATTGTCGCGCGATTTCCGCCGCGATATCGCGCATTTTTGCCGCGCGATATCGCGAGAAGTCGCTGGCCAATGCTATTCAATGGAGCTGTCTTAACTCCATGTCGCGCGTCGCGGTCGCAAGTCGCTTCTACCGGACCCTTTTTTCGGCGGATTTTGCGCGATTTTGCTTTTTTCTATGGAGCCCGAAGGAGAAGGTCGCGCTACCGTCGCTGGATCGTCGCTGGAACGTCGCCCCGAAAGTCGCGCTATCCCGGCCGCTGACAAGGTATGTCGCTATATGTGAACGGGGTCTAAGTCGGGATCCGCTGCGGCGTCTCAGTATACCGCGAGCTGTAGCTCGCGGTATACTGAGCTTAGGGTAACGGGAGGATGCTAGTTTGTGTCCTCCCGTTACCCTAAGGAGAACTATGGGGAAAAACACTGACCCCATAGTTCTCCTTTTAATGTTTATTTCAAAGGACATGGCAGAGGCTAATGTCATCGGAGCTGATGCTTCATTGATCCTCTCATTTCCTCTGCTTTCTACATTCCAGTACAAGGTTTGGTAGACCTGCTTTCTGGTGACCTCATGAAAGTATTGTCTCCCATAGACAGGTGGAAGCCAGCCCAGACTTGTACTTCAAGCAGGTGGATTAGCTTGCTGCTGTCTCTCTGATACTATGGAATGTAATGAGCTCTGAAAACAGGATCTCAAATAACACCTGCACTAAAACACCAGGACTGTGCTATGAGGCATGCACATTACTGCACATTCATGAGGTGTAGTTCTTAGGTCAAAATGAGATTTTATATGAAGGGATACATTTTATTTAAATTAAAATGAGAATCAATCTGCGTTAAGTGCTACAGTTGAGTATTGTCCATGATACTTTGTTTATTTGCAGTTACTTTTTAGGACAAGCTTTCAAGGCCTACCCCCTTCGTCTACGGTCCAAAAGGTAGTGATACTTAAAGGTTTAGCAAAATGTTAAACAGTTTGCTCAACATTTGTGTATCTGCACTGTGTGGACTATAGAAGATGAGCTAGGGACTGTTTTGTACTGCTGTGAGCAGACAGTCAGCTTTACGATGATTCTTTGCGGTGTCCACCCCTAATCGGTCGACTGAATGAGGCATTTAACACCTGAGTCTCTTGTGCTGTTTTAAACTGTTTTTGGAATCGCACATATTTATCTGGTTTCTGAAGG